TTATATAGATATGTATGTTTTAAAAACTGTCCTTCAATGGGCAGGTGTTCCGAGTTAATTGGTGCTTGGTTATATTCTGTATAAAATTACATGAGTCTCTTCAGGTATGTAAAACCATTTCCGAGTGTTACACAGAATTCTTAGGTGACAGTATTATGCAGATAGAAGGACAGGCACTTCACCAAACACCATAACCTGCATATTCTTAACACAAATGAATGTACACCCAGCTGACCAGTCATATTCTACATAGATTTTTATAAGGAAAATACCAGCTCATGTAATGACTCTCAATGGTTATGAAGGAGAACTCTGAACACGAGCAGAACTTGGCTCTTGTACTTCCCATTTAAATTATCTGGCCAGGATTTACTTACAAAGGATGATTACCAACTTGATGTTAGGAAGTGGGCAAAACCATTGCAACACTAATTTTGGAGAGAACAGCAAGACTGATTGCTGTAACACAAGAATGACTGACCAGCTAATTAATTTGTCTGATTATAATATAGGTATTGCATTTAAACTTGATTACAGTACCATAGTTCCTTGTAAATTACACCTTTTTAAGTCTTTCACCAAAATGCCAGAAACCACTAAAGCTAAGCACTCAGGAACAGGGCTGTCAAAAAGCCCAGCTATTTAGGGACTGACAACACTAGTTCAGCAATGTAGCATACTAATTTACAAAGTATTCTAGAAGTTTCTTCTGACAGGTAAGTCTAATATGGTCAAGAATTTGCGCTCGAGTTTCCGTCCTGGGGCTAATACATTCTTAGACAGCGTGGCACCTAACTACCAAGCACTGACAAAACAAAACAAACCCATCACACAACCACGAGCAAAACACAAAGTTTACAGTCAAACCAAATGAGTTCTCAGAACAGCAGAGCCACACAGAAATCCTCATTCTGCTTCCAGAAACACACAAAAAAGTGGTACCTCAAAGTGACATCTTTCCTCAAAAGGAGCATAAACACTTCCTATTATGGATGGTCAACAGGGCTCTACCTTTCCAAGATTCAGCCTACCTTAGAATATCACCAAGAAAACCATTTTTAAACATCTACATTTTAAATGCCAGTTAAATGTATACATAAAAGTATTTTTATCTACATTCTAAAAGGTTTGGGGCTGTGTGGATAACTCCTACCTGTATATTAATGCTTGTCTAGACATCTCTGGAGTTAAACAAGTTACCATTAGATACACAGTATTGAAACTATAGCTCTAGGTATTCCTTTCTATGCTTAAGAGGAACAACTTTAAACCATGAGGCACATTGTCAACACCAGAAGCCTTCAACTGTTACCATATTACAATGATAGCAACTGCTTTACAATCATATACCATACCCTAACTGCATATTACTCAATACTATAGCAATGATGTGGTTATTGCAGAAACGCTCTTCAATTCACTATAGATTAAGCACATTGAGTGGAAATTAATAAATATAGCTCATTTGTGTTACACTGACGCTCAACAAAAACGTTAATCACACATAACCAAGCTGATTGTACACGCAGACACAGCACAGAAATGGTCAAGATCCCAGAACCAGTCTGCCTGAAAAAGCAGAGTTACTCACATGCCCATAATCTCCCTGGAAGAAATTTACTCATATTAGAGTAAAACAATCAAGAATTTCAGGACCACTAGAACTCCTTAGTGAGGGAAGACATCCCTGAGGAGGACACCTTGTGAGGGATGGCAAAGGATTCTACAGTTGGAGGTGTCCAGCCTGTCACCTCAAACTGCAGTAACTTCTCTATTCCTAAACTAGGGTGACAACAAGGTGTAGTAGTGAGATTTGCAAAGAGATTAAACTGCCAAAGATGGGACAATACATTTATAATCACAGTCTCAAGAGCTGCCTGTGAATTCACACAGTCACTTGCAAATACAGGAACTTGCACAAAACACCCAAGGATCAGTTAACTCCAGTCAACCCAGGGGAGGGAGGATGTCTGAATTCCAGTAATCTATGCAAGTCCAGTTTCAAAATTCAGCATTTGTCTAATAGGAAATTTTAGAAATTCCTAAATGGCTTTGAATTAGACACAGTACTAAAACGTCTCCATATAGAACTTAGACATTGCAACAAGCAAATCCAACTCTCAATCTAAACCCAAGAATGCTATGGGAATAAGAAAACCTAAGCTGCAGTACATATCCCTGAAAGCATTTAACAAGCAGTATACACCCCCAAGTGTCACTGACAGCAAGAGCAACAAGATACTCCTTAACGGATCCGCAACAAGTGCCACATGGAAACCAAAACACACAGGAAACTCAAGGCAATATCATTTAAGTTTTAAGGATGTAAATTTCAGTAATCTACTCACAGCTGCTAGATTATGCATATTGCCTAAATCATCACAGATTTTGAGGGAATCTGATTAAAAAAACACTCTCACTATCATAATGATAGCACAGTGACAGCATCATTTTGGCATTCCTTTGCTTTTTAGGACACATTTTACTGCCTATTCTCAGTCATCTGTTTATTTTTGGCTTCATTTTTCTAAATACTGAAGCTGCCCTATCAGTTTCACAGGCTTATAAATGTTATACATCAAAAATTAGTTTCACTTATTAAAGCAGGAAACGGCTTTAAGAACTCTGGGATCTGTGCCTCAAAGCAAAAGCTTTATCAGCAGGTTCCAGTCACTGCTTCTTGCAAAGAAAATGGTGCCGATTAAAAACCCATACACCTGATTTCAAAAAAAGAACACCTACCCACTGAACGTTTTTCACGTGGCAGCAAGGGGCTGTACCCCAAACAGAAGGCAGCTCATTTCTCTTATCCTCCCTAACCCTGCAACACTGCTCAAGAAAAATGAAAATATACATAGAAAGATGAGGCCCAGATAAAAGAATACCAACTCATCCGGTTATTTATGAGGATTTCATAAGCTTCATACTCCAATGCAGTCATAGCACAATTCACTCCTGAGTGCGACAGTATCAGGCATGGAAAGGGACACAATGAAACCAAATGCTTCATAAAGTAATTAATTTATTTCCAAGTATTATATAAAATGCAAAGAGAGGAACATTACAAAGAGAGGAAAGGACATGTTTTTAAATCAATGCTCTATAATGCCATGAAGACAGCATTTTATTAATTGTACTTATATACAAACATGCTGTATTAAATCAGCCTGTCCCGTGACTGAATTCTTTTTTACTGCTCTTCACTGAATCAGCATTAGTCACTAAGGTTTTCCTTACAATAGGGCAAAATTAGAAGATCCATTAAAAAAAATACAGACTCTTTAAAATCACAAAGAAAAAGCAATCTTGCACAGTGTTATGCTGCAGATCTCCACAACAGGAGAGCCCCAGTGAATTCACCAGGATTCTGTGTTCAGAGCTCCTCATGAGTCATTTGAGTTTTCCTTCTCTCAACATGCTATTTATTCAGATAAACCCACTTAACCAAAACCAAGGCAAGGCTGTGAATACTAATAATGCTCCCGGCATTTTGTTTTCAGAATTACAACATGTTAATATTTGAAAGTCAACAATTTGGAGCTAATGTTCCACAAATAATAATATATTGTTGTAGCACCTGAGATACGCTAGATGCTGTACAATTCCATAGCTACCAAAATCAGATAGCAGTTTATCATTAATATTACAAAACCTTAGAACTTCTTACATTAATTTGTTTTATAGTCAAACAATTTGCACTGGAACCTTAGTATGTTTTATTGATTATGATACTCTAACCACTCAGAAAAGATGGTATGATCCGATTGTGAAGGAGAATAGTAAGAATGCTTTAATATCTATGCATAAAAGGTAATATAACAGTATCACTACAAGAAGCCAGGCAGACTTAAAGGGCACATCACACTTTATTTCTGCTTTCAGTTACGGACTATCATTTATGTGCAGCGAGGCTTTACCAATGAAAAGATGGAAATTGGAGCCTAGAAATTAGCAACTACCCTGAATGACTACACAAGTGTAGGTGTTTCTAATGAATGTGCAGAAACAACCCTGAGAAAGTTAGCTTCACAGAAAATATTTATAGAACGATAAGAACTGTATTTCCTGCCATCTGTCTTTAAAATAATCATAATAGTATATTATATTGCATTAGAAGAGATTTAAATGTATAATTTTACATCAAATCAATTACAGCTTTACTCAAAAGCTTCACTTTACTGTAGCTAAACATTTTTATATTTGTATCAAAATGAGAAGTACTCAAGACTTTATTTCCTTTTTTTTTTAATGTCTTTCGACATTACCGTAAAACCCCAGTTATTTCTGTGGAGATGGAAAAGCATGGAAATAGATGACTGAAAGCAAAAACTTTTAAGGGGACAGCTTCTCCACTGCTCTAGCCTTCTGGCACTTTTTGTATATTATATGCATAAATGTATATTATATGCATACACACACACTTTTTTTTTTTTTAAACTTACCTGTACTTAAAAGTATTCTAGCTGGTTTTTTATCTTGATTTTGTTGATTCACATTTTCCTTCTCTGCACAAAGCGAGGGGAGCTCAACAGCTTACGCTGATTTCGGAGCCACACCACTGCTGCCACTACCTACCATATGTGCATCAACCAAACTGTATTTCTCATACCAAATCTCAATTCAGACAAACATCTGACCTGACAAGGAATCTGTTTGCTTGGATCCAAGCTTAAAGGATCCAACTTCTGCAGTAAAAGTCACATAACCTTCACAAAATTACTCAGATGTACTAGCTAACATGACAGTCTCATGAAGATATTTAATTTTTACACCTAAATTTATTTGGAGTTATGTATTTAAGCTAATTTTTTTTTCGCAAAAGAAATATTCATGCATTGTATAAATATCTCTAATATCTTGACATGAACTTGTTAGATCCTTACCTTTCTACAGGCTTAAGCCATGGACACTTTTCAGAGAAGGAATGCAGAGAACAGCATGTACAAAACCATGTACAAAACTAAGTGTTTTCTAAGAGCTTTTGTTAACAGGACACTTACCTCCCGAAGGGCTAATCTATCACTCAGCTCCTCAGCTTTATCAATGTCACCTTCCGCCACAGACTTCTCTATGCTAAGTTCAAGGCCAGACTAGAAAGAACAAAAACAGTAGTCTTTAGGACATAAAAAATAATACTTCCAAAGCAAGTATCTCCTTTTCAAGACGTCTTTCTTTTAAAATAAGAATTTTGTGAAATATTCCAGAAACATGTCATTCCTATGACAAACAAATTTTGTCTACGTATTGTAATGAGCAGTATAATTCAGAATTCACTCAAAGGCTGTCTGAGCTCACATCATTGCATTAGTTCCACCTTACGTGCACAACACTGTAGGTTAAAAAAGATTGCACAGACTACTTTGTCTGTCACAATAAAATTTCATCTGAAGTTGGCTCACCTATTCCATCCCTGGAGTTTTCTAAACAATATGTGAAATGAGTGTTAGGTAATATGAAGAATGGCAATTACCACTCCATCATTACAGTTCTAAAAACTGAATCCCTGGCATTGTTTCACTCCACTGTAGTTAAAAAAAAAAAAAAAAAAAAAAAAAAAAACACACACACACACAAGCAAACAAAAAATTGACTGCTAAAATTTTGGAAACAGTGGAAATGCTTCACAATTTTTTAGACCTCTGAAAACAAGGAACTAGCCTTTATGATCAACATAGCCTCTAACTTGTTTAGAGAACAAATTTAGAAGCAATATAACAGTAAATGGCAAATAAATATTAAACAGAAACTGTAAGTGGACATTTCTGAAGCAATAGCCGGTTGTGTCAGATGTCTTTTCCTGAAGAGAGGTAGCAGGCAGAGCCAGCAATACAATCTCTTAATTTAGGTAGAGAGCATCTGCATTCTAGCACTTTGGGTCTTATTCCATACAAATCCAGAGTGGTTTAATGAAAACTGTATTTCCACCAAAAGGAAAAACTATAGAAATGTGCACCAAAGTTTACTGCAGGCAAAAAAAAAAAAAAAAAAAAAAAAAAACAAAAAAAACAAAAAAACCCCCCCAAAAAACACCACCCCTACCAACAAAACCCGCCACCACACACACACACACTCCAAAGAATGAAACCAAATAAAACACAGAACATTTTTATAAGAGAAAGTGATGCTAACTAAACATTTGACATCACAAAATTTACACAGGCCTCCACTGGAAGAGCTACAGAACAAACAACGTTTTAAGAACGCCTGAACAACAAGTTCAACTTGTCCATCTTGTGGGACTGTAATTTTCTTAATATGGCTAACTATAAAATATTTGTGAAGAGATTGAGTTTCTTCACACACACACAAAAACACTGTAGTTAAATATGCAAAGAATTTGTTTCTCACTATGATACAATAAAAGATAGAAAGGATATAGTCACACATATCACGCATATTATTCTTCAGCGTGATGTAATCACTCCCATGCTTTCAAATGGTCTCAGTTCCACTCCTGTTTCAGTTAAGGTAACTTATTTTTATTATGAGCACAAGCTGACATTGTTTTTTTTTTAATCAACATTTACCTTTTGTTGAGTCCTGCTTTTCACAAGTGTTTCAAATTTGTCATTGATTCCAAAGTATTGTGTAAGCTCTTTCCAATGCTCTTCATTTGCCAACTGTTGACTACAAAAAAAAAAAGAAGAAAAAACACTATAAAAAGCTTGTTTTCCACTGCTGTAATATTCTTCATCTCTTTTACCCACTCATTTTTTTTAAATGGAGATGAAATTAAATACTTCATCTTTTCTCAACTTCCCCTTATACTTACAAGCCTTATATTTAAAAATAGATCTCAGATAATCACACCAATCTGTTTATACCTCTCAGTCACTTCATTGTTCTTTTTCAGTTTTTCTGTAATAAAACAACAACAACAAAAAAGATGTGATGTTACACAGCAGTACCTTATAGCATTCAATGAAGTTAACAGAATTCTAATTGGTCACATTCCCTTAGAAAGATTAACATTCTAGGACTTATTGCCAGTGATCATGTGTATCTAAATGACTCAGGCTTTTTGGGGGGGGGGGTTTCATGAAAAACACTCCTGCAATATCCATGAAGAAAAATTGTAATTGGAAGATACCAAAGTCTGTTTTCTAGACTGACTGAAATTTAATTGGCCAGTATAAATAAGAACTAATAATAAAGAACACTATCTCCTTTTTAAAAAGGTGCATAAGGATGTTTAGTTGAAGAAGCAACTCGAAAAAACAAAACACTAGTTAACAGTGAGACAACATCTACTCAGGCATTTTATTACAATTCTTGGAGGACGGAAAAAAAAACACAACCAAAAAACCCTGCAAATCTCATTTGCAATTTATTCACATTAATATATTTTTGAGAAAATAAGTTCTGTAATTAAATTAAACACCTTTTCTGCGGCGCTTTCTTTTTCGGTCTCTGTTTCCCTGATTTGGTTGGGTTTCCATTTCACGTTTTCTCTTCTGAAGCTCCAAAAATTTCTACAAGATGGAAAAAAGCAGACTTTTTTCTTGTAATCATAATGTGCTGAAAAAGGTTGTCCTAACAGCTCCTTTATTCATGATATTTTCCTCTACCTACTATAGTAAAATTATGCTCTGAGTTTCCTGGCTCTGTTGGCAAACTGCACCTGGCTCTAATCTTTATATCACCAGACCTCTGATTTTCAGAGGTCACCTCCCTGCATGACACAACTATTTAAAGACATCCTTGTTTTCTAATGAGGCACAGTAACAAATACAGTCCCGTTATTTGCACAATCCTGAAGCATTCAGCATCTTGCTGCTGCATCAACAGCAGTTTAGCATTCAAGGATAACCAACAGTACAGCAGGCCACACATACGAACAGAGAAGAGCATCAAGTTTTTGCTAAGTTCTTATTTGGATTCCAGAGCATAAAACTTAGGCCGCTTTCTTCACTCTTCTCAGGCTCTACATGCAACAAGAGCATAAGCAGCTGTGAGTGAATGGCTGTAACTAATTCTTAGTGAAACAGAGGAGCAAACCTCTGCTTAACTCATAACCATCAGGACAGTGGCTACTATGCACAGCTATAAATCTTTTTCTTTTATATTAATAAAGCTCGGAGTCCATATTCTACTATAGATAGAAATCTTGCTGCAACTGTGTAATCTACATACTTTCCTGCTGTGCTTTTAATATCACATCAGTGTGCAACAACAAAACACAAAACACCATCACACTCAACACGAATTATTCCCAATATCAGTCATGCAGCTTTCAGTAGACTGCTTTTACCCGTGGATATTTACAAACTCGTAACGTTACCCACATTCCACATGTGGAGAGGAACTCCAGCAGGGCATGTTTGACTGCCATCTTCTCCATCTGTCACAGTTATCGAAGGGGATTTACTGACAGTGCTACTTTCAGCTTCACTCTCCTGGAACTCAGGGCGCTGAACTGTTTTAATATCTTCTTTTATATCTTCTGGTGAGCAGGATGTCACACTATCCAATGCGTCCCCATCATCAGAACTTAAGTCAACGTCACTTTCATTCAGTCCTGGGGGTAACAGCCCACTCCACATCTTCCAGTGGAAATAAGATCAGGTCACTCTGCGTCACCAAAAAGACACCAGCCTAATGTGCGACTCATCCTCAGATGGAAACATTGTTAGCCTGTAGAAAACTGAAAATAACAGAACACATTTTGGTAAACACTCTAATTTCTCCCAAGAACCCTTCTACCCTGAGATGCTTTAGATAAGCTCATTAAAAAGCTCCCAATACTCTCCGTTTAAGAGAAGCAGAGAACCTAACTGAACAGATGAAAGTTAACACACGCAAAAGCTTCCGCACTCACCCTGCCGCGGCCCCCGGCACCGCGCAGCCGGGAGAGGCAGGGCCCGTTCCGCGGACCGGGACCCCGGCGGGAGCAGCGGGACCAGCGCCGGGAGTGGCCCAGCCCGCTCCGGGGAGCGGGA